CCCGCCTCAGCTCCTGGTTGCGCAGCGGCTCCCCCTCCTCCGGGCGCGCCTGGCGCTCTCGCGCGTCCCGCCCGGCCCTCTGCTCGCCCAGGCCGCGGTCTCGCGACGGGCCGCCCTTCCCCTCGGGCTCGGCGTCCTCCTCCAGCCCCGAGGCCTCGGCCAGGGCGTAGTAACAGGCCTGGGCCACCTTGAAAACGAACAGCAGGAACTCGTTGAAGTCCACGAGCCCGTTGCGGTCGCGGTCCAGGAGCTCCAGGATCAGGTCCACCGTCTCGGGATCATGCGGTCTCTGCGGAAAAACGGCGAACAAAACCTTCATAATGTGCCGCTGACAGTAAGTTTCTCACACACAGTAAATATTTCATGATGTGCAGACACTCAAAGGACATTAAGAGCAATTAGACCCCCCTCCCCGTGCGTATGGTGTTCTGTCCCCATGGAAGATGCGAATCCCTCATTTCAGAGCCTTCGTTTGTTGGAAATGTTTGCATCTTGTAACTCAACGCGGATTAGAAGAGCACCAGCTCCCTACAGCCGGGTGCGTAAGAATGCGCTCGTCCTCGAGGGAGGCCGACAATGGAAGTGCATGAAGATTCGCAGCCGCCACTTCTGCCTGAAATAGTTCCTCTGATTTGATTTTTATTCCATGTTTGAAAACTGGACAGAACACTTAGGGCAACACTGTTTTACTAGTGAACAGTATGATTTTAATTATTGAAATTTGGAAGTAATCTTAAGTTCCTTCCAAGTCGATCTAGTTTGACCTGACAGCTTTGGTGATAACTTCCCATGACCACCAGTCCACTGGCATTGCCATCGCCGTGGATACATGAAATAATTGCTGGTACCTTCCTTAGTACTCACAGACTACAATGCCAGTTAAGTACCTTCAGGCTCAGAAATGAATGGGGGTGTAGTGCAGAGCTGTCCTGGTGTGAAATGAATATAAAGTCACCATCCTTTGCTCTGGTTCATAACTTTGGGAGAAAGTTCATAACCCCAGATCAACAGAGAAATTTCCTTTTCTTCTTGTTTCTTACCCGAAGAATAGCTCCAAATTCCCTTTCAAGGAGGTTCTTCAGGTCTTTCTTGCACAGTGCGGCCCCATCACAATCATGTGAGGCATATTGATTGAAAACTTCAGTGATATCAAAGATGCTTCTCAGAAGTGGAGACATTTTTTTCTTTCCTTAAGTTCAAGTAAACCTAAAATAATAAAATAGGATCCATAATCAAACCCTGTTTCTGATCTTGGGGAGGTTTCAGCCCCACTATTTTGGGCATTTCCCTAAATAATTTGACTTTATGACAGTAATTATTTTCAACATGGGCTTTCAGAGCACTTTATTTTTGAATATTGTGCTTGGAAAAGGGAAGAGAGATCCTGAGAAACTTCAAGCCCGTGAATTATCTGCAGACTATCCTGTGGTCAGCTTTCAGATTGTTTACCTAATCTGGATTATCGATTTCATTTCCTTCTCCCCCTTTCTGCTCCCTAACATATTTCAGATCAGACAGTGTAGTAAATAATGTAGAAATCTAAATTTGATATGTCTCTACTCATAGCATCTTCCTCTAAAATTGAACACAGAGGATAGGCGAAAGCCAAAAGGGGAAGGAAGATCTGAAAGTAACTTGAAGTGGATAGAATCCATGTACACCTAATTGTGGAGCAAAACATTTAGTGGTAACAAGAACATTAAAAAGCAAATGTGGATTATTTCCCAACATTATAGCCCATAAGATATCTAGGAGTGTAACTCATAAGTCACCAGTTCTAAGGTTAAACACTACCTCTCTGCAGTCAACAGTGGCATTGTAATATTCAGATAAACCAGTGCAGAAAACAAAGAGTACATGTTACCTGTCTTAAAGCTAAGATATGTTACAGATATTCAGTTATTGAAAGCTTCTGAGAGGTACTTCCTGACTGGCTACCAGAGTCAATGGGTCAAACTGAACCTGGACAGATTTGAATAACATTGGTTTTATGGTTAGCTTTTGCTAAACCCAAATAAACCATTTGAATCTTGGCATTATAAAAAATGGGACTTAGCCAGAAGCAGATCAGTGTTAAGAATACATGGAAGGCTTCACTGGCTGGGTGAGTATCCTGGCTCATCTAGCTGGCTTCTTTAACTACTGCTCAACTCCAATATAGCAGATGCCATAATTTCACGAAGATAGCCCATATTGGGTAGAACCAACATAAAAAGAGAACCAAGGGTTGGAAAACTTTTGAGATGGCAGTTTTTAGAAAGATGAACCCCATCAGAATCATGCACAACTATCTTCCAACCCCTAACCTGCAAACACACGTATAGAGCTCAGAGCCTTAGGAGAAGGGCCATGTCTCTCTTTGGGTAATGGCTCCAACGATAAGAAGATGGCATGGAGTCAGACATCTCTGTAAGATACTGATGCCTACTAGCACAGTAGGCCCCCTTTGCCCCTCTCCCACCAACATCTACAACAACTGGAAAATGAAGAATCATACAGGAGAACATGATCCCACTGGACGGGACTTACCCACTTCACCAGAGGGAGAAGTCGAGTGCGCTGACACCGCTGGCAAGTGTACTGGGCAGCCGGTAGCTGGGCCTTTTATAGGGGTTCTAATTGTGCCCCGAAGACCTACTTGGGAAGGAGACACCCACTCTGTGGGATGGCCTGATTCATTCTTAACCAAGCCCAGCTCCACCTCTGTCTCCACAAATGGTTTGTTTATCTCACTATTTGCTCACCTACCTATTTGGCATGAGGTTCACAGACCTTGCCTCCTGACAGGGTACTGGCCCCACCTAATGTGAAAGGATAGACTATTTGACAGACCTCCAATTTTTAAAATTTGTTAAAATTAAATAAAACAATAAAACAAAGAAGTTAATGTTCAGAATCTTAATTATGAGTTTATTACAAAGTAGTAACCTCTGAGCCATTTACTGTATAAAAAATGTAACTTCTAGGATGGAATCAAACATAAACTAGTTGATTTCTCCCTGGGATGTGACAATTCATGGGGAACTGCTGATAGCCCTACCTGAAGCAATTCTATTACAATGAGAGGGTATAAGGAATTGGTTTAGTTTCTTCTCTAAAAATGCAGGTGGGGGAAAAAATTGCATTTGTATTCTTGGGTCTTATAATGATTTTCCTATAGATTGGGGATTGCTTTCTTAGTAAACAATTGTGGATGGTCCTTTAAAAATATGTTTCATTAAATGAATTTATAAGAGAATTTGAAATCTGTCAAATTTCATTTGTAGGGATATTACATCTAAATGAAGTTTGCTCTTTCTTTTCTCATTAACATATTGATGCCCCTGGAGAAAAGAGCTGGTGTAATCTGTTTTTTTAAAAGATATAATCATCCTACTCAGCCCAAGTCACTAATGATTATGACACCGAAACACTTGACTGTGCTTCTGCAAGTGTATTAAGGTAATCGGTCATTCTAGCCCATTATATCTGTCAGGGCTTTCTCAACCCTGACGATCACTTGCAAATCCCAGTGCTGTTTTATTGTGAGGAACTGGATTTTATCCTTGGTTGTCAGTGACTCCCACCCTTACGTTTTAGACTATATGAAAATTTGGTTCACGATAAGTTTATGGAGACTATTAAATGATTCAGTCTCCTCCGTGGGCATTTCGGTCTCCTTCATTGTCCAACAGAGACAAGGACTGGCTTTCTGAATTTTGAGGAGACTCTGTAGGGTCCTTCAGTTGAATGTAATTTGGAGCCTAAATCTTGATGGCTCTTCCTCTATGTGCAGATTGGTCCAAATGATGGTGGAATTGAATTCTATTTGCCCCCTTGTTTGCTGCCACCCTAGAGGTGGGGTGAGAGGAAGGTGGAAGTGATGAGTGATGGGAAGGCAACTGTAAGCCTGGTTCACTTCTGTGATCTAGGATTTTTTCTAGAACTGTCACTGTTTCTTGGGATCAGTTAGCAAACTTGATGTAGCAGCCCCTTAGTGAAGAGTGAACATTTCTCTCCCTTCCCCTTACTACTTAGGGTTTTATACAGTTATTTTAATCTTTGAATTCTAGGATAGAACCATCATGAGCAGTGCAACCACAAATCACTGTAGGACCTCTATCTCTCACATAGGATATGAGTCTTTTTAAAAAAAATCCTTACCCAAGGGTATTTTTGCCATTGATTTTTTAAGGGAGAGCGGAAGGGAAGGAAGAAGGGAGGGAGGGAGGGAGAGAGAGACATCTAGTTATTGCTCCATTTATTAATGCATTCATTGGTTGTTTCTTGTATGTGCCCTGACTGGGGATCGAACCCGAAACCTTGGCGTATTGGAACAATGCTCTAACCAACTGAGCTGCCTGGCCAGGGCAAAGTTCAGTCTATTTTTTATTTTTAAGACCAACCTAGAACCCCTGAAATGTGGCAGTGTCCATTCATCGTGGTTCATCAAAAAAGAATGGTATGTTTATAATCTGAGGATCTTAATCTTCTTTATAGACAAAAAGTCTCATTATCTTTCTTTTATGAGACTGGAGACTGAGGCACTGAAAGGTCAGAGAACGTTCCTGGCTGGCCCAGAAGTGACCCAAGCACGCCTGCTCCATTCTGTAAGAATATCCTTCTTTATCAAGGATTAATGCCAGTGGATTCAGGGCATAGCCACACTCTTTTACTCTTACTTGGCTTTGAGATGTGGGCTCTTTATTACAGAGGGATTGAAAAGAGAAAATAAAATTTATATCATTCATAAGCTTTAATATTACATCAATCATGGAGCCTTGTCTGTGCTTGAAATCTTTGAGGGGTAGAGCTCTGCTGGGTTAACAAAGAACTAACAAAGTACTAGGTGTCCCCGGTCTTCAACTCATTCAAAGGCTCTTTTCCCATTTCCTCCTGTCAGAATCCAGAAGAAGTAGATAACAGATTTGACAGTCAGTGGTATTTCTACCAGGACCAAACCCTGCCTTGGCCTTAATGTGAAAATTTTGATAAAGCAGAGACGGTACTAGTGTGGTCCTCAGCCGACTGGGCTTCTCTAGAACCCTCTACGCGCCAGGATGTGGGGCTCTGGGAAAATGTCCAAGCAGGGTGACTCTAAGATGGCTTTTTAAAAAGTAAGAATCTTTGGTAAGCTCTCTAAACACTTATCCAATGAAGACTTTTCTTTAAAATTATGTGTTAAATCTTTCAAGTTTTTCTACAGAGTCTTCTTATTCATTGACCCATGCCCTGGGACGCCACCTCTGCCAGTCTAAAACCTAATATATTTCCTGAGGCCCCCACAAGTTCCATCTGCCCTCCAACACCTTCCTTGGCTTTTCCATACAGCAAGCGTCCAATTAAAGCACTTCTTCCCACAGCATGCATAGTCAGCAGGATGCAACCCAGCACTGGTTAATGTGTAATTTCCATATTTTCCTCTAATTTAATGGGTGCTTGCTTTGTCTTCTTGATTAGGTTTTAAGTTCCTTGGAGGCAACGCTGTATCTTTTATTTCTACCAGGTGTTTAGTAAAATCCTTGCTGATATGATGTAATTTTATTGCACTGCAGCAGTTTAAATGGCCAAGTCTGAATGAGATGAGTGGCTTGATCTGGGATGGAGTTCTGTGGCTTTGGGTGATCGCCTGAGGATGAGGGCACATACCATCTGGGGCCTCTTTCTAGTTTTGCTGCTTGCAGGACAGATGACAGAGGAAGCATTACTCCACCCCTCTCTGCCTCCCCCATGCCCATCACTTCACCCCTCTGTTAAGGGAGAAGCTGTAAGATATGAATCCCTTCCCCAGAGGGGAGCTGTGATAATTACAGCTTGTAAAGCATTTTGTGACTCTCAGATATAAAAGGGCTAATTACTATGATCATTAATAATTCTTAATTTTTATCTTCTTCAAGGTAAATTACCTTTACTTTAATTATACCCCCACCCTGGTGGTAATTATACCTCTGAGAGTCAGCAGATGCTTTTTCATCTTACATCATGTCATGCAGGGTGACTGGGCACGGTGAGCACAGGCGAGCACTTCCACCTTCTGCCCACTCCAGCGCTCACCCAGAGTAGCAGAGCGCTCCTGGCGTTTTTTGCCATTAAAGTGGCCATAGATTTCAAGTGACCTGTTTTTTTCTGTTCTGTAACTATATCTTTCTGCTAACCAGAAGCCCCTCAATTTCTCAGAGCTTTAGGATTTATCAAAAGA